GTTCCTATAAGTATCATTAAGCTGATGAAAAAGCTTTCCAAAAAAAATCCTTAAAAACTTAGAAGCACCATTTTTTGACTTTTTGAGTCCAGCATCCGATAAAATAGGAAAATAACCTTACACTCTCACATTCTCATTCTTTTCGCGCAAAATACTTAAACAGTCATTACCAAACGTGTTTCAGAAAATAGGTGTCATGAGCAATAAAATACAATATTGATACGTCTCTGACTATGCAAAATCAAGGTATATTAAGCGTATCACAAACCCAGGCACACAGACAATACACATTTTGGCTTTTTGAACCACGAACTTTATATTCCAATACTATTATTAGAATGAATAATTCTGAAAACAAATAAATATATTCAAATGAATATTTATCTGAATATCAATTTCAGATAGTAAATTCTAGGGTGCAGAAAACCATATCGACTGTCTATCACAATCTGCCGGAGGTATAGAGAAGAAAACTCAATCGTCTCGCTATATAATTCAACACTCATTATCAATCATGTTTCACAAGAATAAGAGAATGAATCTTTATTTCTATTTCCATCGATATCTACCTGATCTCAGGTCACGAGAGTGACATGATTCCAATTGCAGTAGTATATCTGATGTTTGAGTGTGAAAATCATCTGAAGATATAAGACAGGTCTTCGTACGTCTTAAAAGTTCGGACCTAACTAGCCTATTACTGATTCAGACTTGTGTTTTTCGTTGTATTCTAATCCGAACGGTAGGATCAATAAGCAAGAAACTGATTTATTCATTTGGTATACTGCATTTTGATTCAGTTATGTGTAACAATAAAAATGTGTCAAAGGACAATGATCTGTATTGAACTGACCTGTATGATCAGTAGCTGTAAAAGAACCAGAATGACTCGTTTTTCATATTTCTTTTTAGTATTAACTTATAAATGACGACAAAAACTCCTGAATTTCAGTTTCGTGAGGTCTTACTCAAACTACTGGATGGTTTATCAGATAGTGATTGTAAAAAATTAAAATTTTTACTTGGTGAAGATATTCCACGTAGACTTCAAGATGATCCAACCATTGGTGGTACCCTTGATTTGTTTCAAAAACTGTTTGATCAACATAAAATTTCTGAGCAAAATTTCACCTATTTAATCAATGCATTTGAAGCTATTAAATGTTTTCATGCTGCACAATGTTTGAAAAGTAAACAGCTTATTTTACCATCGACGTCTACTACAAATAATTGTATTTTTTAGAGCATCAAACACAAAGAATGCGTAACATATCAATAAACTCTACAGGATCAACATATGCGTCGCAGCCTACGGAAGAACGAACACTTTTAGGCGAAATAACCGCAGATTTTGAAGAGGATAAGTATTGCAGCGGCAGAGCACTTCGTAAGTTTATCAGTAGTATTTTTCATGGAAAATATCTTCGTACGAATAATGCCGTGTTTCAGATACGATTCTGAAAGTATTCAGCTATGAATAGTTTTCTCGCGTATTGTTCCTCGAGACAGATGTGGGTAAAAACTAATTATGAGCAATGATTCTAGCCTGACTGACTGGCTGACCAGTGAAAAAGTTAGCATGGACGTAGTAGCAAAAATCTGTCAATCCAAGCTGATAAAAATTTCTAAAAACGCTTATAAGCACTCGAATCGTGGTTCGGATTTGAGCTTTTTCATGGCCATTAAGAAAACAGTAAAACTGGCTAATTTCATTGTAAAATATGCGTGAAGACGCTTAAAAAGGCAACATTTGTGTCGAAAAAACATGAAAAGGTTTTTCGGCAATATTTTAACGTGTTTTATAGATAAAAGTGACTTTTTCAAGCGTTCCGTGTGTCAAAAGTATTGTAAGAAAACTTTTTTGACGTTCTGCAAACACAAATATTGCCTTCTTAAGCGTCTTCACGCATATTTTATGATGAAAATAGCTGTAGTTCTTGTTTGCTTGGATACCTCTATCCTTAAGAGTCACCATGCTTGTTCAGTTCTTTCCCATATTCCCATTCCTTATATAGATACAGAGATCAAATATGTCTGTCAATATCTGACGGCTTCTGCACGAAGCTCATATCACAAATCAAACTAGCATCAAGGAATAGTTCAATAGTTTTCAACGTCACTAGGAACGAATTGTATCGATTAATGAAAAGCAACTGATTGTGCATTCTAGAGTGGTCATCTGACGATCCAGTGCACGCTCCGGTAGAAAATGTTAGTAACACATTGCCTGTGCCATCTAATCAAACATCTACGTCCACCCTTAATTTATCATCAAAACTATTAATCAATTACCAATCATTGAAGAAAAAGCATAGGAAGAGCATCGAACGGGCATTCAAACTCTTCGCAATAATCACAATAATTGGAGTGTGCTCTACTATATTGTTTCTTATTGCAAGGAACACTTTCATTGGGAAACAAGAATCATTCAAATCAGGACGAACCAACACTATGAGCGTTAATAATCAAGGTAATAATTATTATATCATCTCTAAAAATAATTGAAAATTTTGGTATGTAGTAATGAGTGATGTATAAAGAGTAGAAATCGCCGGATTTTGTTCATATCTCGGTCAATGTTATTGTAACATCTTGAATTCTCTGTGCTGAAGGTGCTTCATGTAATTATGCATAAAATGATAAGATTCACTCAAAAATAAACTCTTTCATCGATAAATTAGCAGATAATCGAAAAATCATATTCCGTACAATTTTCAGAAGTTTCTAATTGTTTCACATTTTTCTCCAAAAAAATATTTAAAATTTTACAGAATTTAAAATTTTTCTCTGAAACACATTTAGTCCATTAAATAGAATTATTTGGTTCAAGTAATACAACTGAAAATATTGTCATCCCTAAGATGCGCTGAAAATGTGTCAAATCAAGCTTAAAATGAGATAGAGTTTTAAAGCTTTTTTTCTAAGCAGAAGTGAAAAAAAAGTAGAAATTTAAAAAATTGTACGAAGTATAATTCTTCGATTATTTGTTACTTGATCAATGGAAGGGAGTTTTCTTTTTGAATGAAACTTATCATTTTATGTGGAAGCACGCAGCACATCTTTTGTGCAAAGAAAGTTCTATCTTTATGATGGAAATAGATTGACATATGAAAAAAATACGGAAACTACCATTCTCTATGCACTATTAATTAGTAGTCAAATGAAATAAGTAAGGTTACGAGAAATGTCAATAGTTCCACGAGAAATCGTGCTGCATCCAATTTTATATCTGAAGCTCACAGACTGTGAAGGTCGTACTGATAAACTCTATCAGTCTTTATTCAAAATTCGGTTGCGGATCAATTTTCTGTAGGCGAAAACTAACATTCAAACCAACTCAGAATCTGGAAAGAATTCGTTCAATTTGCTTCATGGCAAATTGATTGAGGATATGACCACATGTATGAAGAATGAAAATACACATACATTTGTCTTTCATATACGGCAATAATGAAGAATAGGTCAGTAAGCTGATATTCATTTCTTCACCTCAGTATGGAGTAAGAAAAAGGAGAACCAAGAATAGAGGAATTTTTTCAATGCGAAGACAACCTCGACAAAACTGAAATTTTGATGAGGATGAGTACTTAAAACCAATGCAAGTTATCCTACTGAACAAAACTGGATCGATTGCCATGATTTGAAATGTAAAAGCAATTCAAGACACTTTTAGTAGTTTTAGCTTTACCGAAGAATTATTGATGATGCTATACGTTACACGAAACTTCGTTTTTCATGTACAAAAGCTGTCATTTCCTTATATAAACATAATGGATTGTTGAGTGCATAAAAAAGAATTTGGGGACTTTTCGTCATTCTGATATTCAGAAAAACATGTGCCTTGGTTCATAAACAAAAAAAGCTGTGAATGATTTTGAGGATAGCTTCAAGAAATACCGATGATATTTTAGCGATTGTTTGTTCTTGTTGGTTATAGTTCGTCCTTGTGAACCGAGCCTACATGAACGCTATTTCATTAAGTCACAATATAGTGCAAAAATGATTGGAGTGGTAAATTCTACTGGTTCTCAAGGTGCACGCCTCTATCAATTTCATGATGTACAAAAGCAGCAATGCAATCAACAATGGTACTTTATTCGATTACTGAACCAACAAAAAGAAAAACTGTACATCATTCAATCAGTTTACAATCGTAAAGTTTTTGATGTACCCGGTGGCGATACCTCGCCTAATGCTAAGATTCAACAATGGACTATGGCCACGAACAATCCAAACCAACATTTTCGACTAATACAGATGGGAAACGAGAATCTATGTCAAATTCAAAATGTAAAAAGTGAAAAAGTGCTGAATGCAATCACGCTAGAATTTGTGACACAAAATGATCTAGTAGTATCAACCACTGAACTTACTGTAAATAATTCAATAGTAGCTTGGCAACTAATACCATTTGATAAAGGTAAAGAATGCTTTGAGATGATACGGCTTCAACTGTAATGTTTTTCGGTATCTAGAACAGGAGTATATAGAACTTTGCTTCAACTGTCTCGGTTCTGATTTTTGAGATCATTGTTCAGAACAATTTTACAGGGATTGCTTAACAGTATTTATTGCACAGAGCGTGAGCGAAAACAAGTTAGTGCAATTTATAGGAACAGACTTCATGACATCATGACCGGCATACAGTGTCTAAATCGGTATGGTTCATTAGTAAAACTGCTTTGATTCGTTGCACTGCGACATAAACACGTTTAATTTGTCACTATGACTAATTACTGGCTGGACTTTTTGAAAAATGGGCAGAGGTTCTTCAGCTTTATTTTTATAAACCATTAATAATAGAAACAAATTGGGCACATAGGCGCTTATACCTCGCTATGCTACCGAAAGCAATGCTAGAAGTTTGCAATTATAACAGACGGGAAGCAGAAAAAATGTGAGATGTTGAGCACATGGACTCGTAGATTCTTGATATCTTAACTGAATTAGAAAGCTAAAATTTTTCAAATTCAGTCTTTTAATCATTAATATAATTCCGAACTGTTTTCTCTCCAATTCTGTATAAAAAAAGGTCTTCATTACTAGGCCACGTATTTATCTTGATAGTGAACTATAAAGTCTTCTAGTAGAAAAAAGCTCTACTTGAATAATTCAATTGCATGTCGAGTTTTCTTTTTAACAATAGCTATGTATAATAATGATGCATAGATGCCTCAAGAATCAAGCAAATATGGATACTTAGCGCCGTTAAATATAGTCACATTTGCTGCATGTTTTTTCTCAAAACCAGTTTTTCCGAGAAAAAAGGTGCAGAATCGCTCCAGTTTCTCCGACACACTATAAAACTCTCGACACATTAGAAGATCGCCCTATAATAGAAGGTTCCCTTAAAACATAGACTTTTTAAAGTAATTTTTGAAACTTATCGAACTTTCTAGTATTTAAACCCATAACGATATCTAGGTTCAGCTTTGACAATATTTTGCTTCCGATCGCAGTCTATTAAAGAATATGTTTGTTTATTGAAAACATATCATGCAGTCATTTTAGTATTCTTTTACAGTTTATTTCAAAAACATTCTTCAATTTTCCTATAATAAAAAGACCTTCTCATGGTCTTGAAATCCAATGGACGCAGTGCTCATTCGCGCGCGTAGCACATGAAGAAATCTGTATAAAACAATAGCATATCATGTAAAACTACATTGTGTACTTTTAAGAGATAGCTGCACCTGTAACTTTTCTCTAGAAATTCAAAAACATTTTTTATCAAGAAACAGTATTTCATTATTGAAGAAAACATAACTTCATGTGTAGGTGTGGACGTTTGTTCTGTGAGCATTCCTTATGAGTATGAGAATGCATTTCTGTTCTTAATAAGATCTAAAAATATTTTTCGAAACAGACACAAAAGAAAACACAGAATGAATATTCAACTACTGTTCTTCTATAAACTTTTTCTTCGCAAAACAATTTTATTGGTGGAAGTTAGCTTGGGACTAATAAGCATGCTAGTGGTAGATTTCACAATGAACGAATTCCATCTATACCAATCAAACTTCAACAGGTTATATCCTAGCAGTGGCAGGGGTTATCCTTTGAAACAGAAGAAAGTTATGGGGACATGATACCGAGATACTAGGGTACTGGTTGGCTGTTTTTTTATCACGACACTTGTTGCCAACGGTGGTCTTCGTTTTTTTCACAGGATAATATCTATTTCTTTCTCATTCTGCGCATGTGGAATAAGGGAAATGAACTGGTTTACTAACAATGTACTGGACAAAAATGAATTGCAACTAAGATTTATTGGCAGGACCGCCAAAAACTATGACTTATTAAGGGATATAATAGAAGACTCCGGGTCTTCTAACGTGTCAATGGCTTCATATGATCAAGCTAAAATTTTTTCATATATATATATATATAAAGTAGACATGGTGGCTCAGGGTTATTTTTTTTTCCTTCTTCAGAAATATTGTTCTCTTCATATTAGGCAAATTTTACAAAAAAGGTCCAATTTAAAGAAAGCAGCATTTGTTGGGGTTCTTTTAGTCTTTCCTTAGTTTTATTTGAAGAGAGAAAAAAGTTCGCACCAGTCAAACTGTGTCTAATATTTACAAAAATAACATTGTGGCTCAACTGAATATAACAGACCGGAAAAACAAAAGCAATAAAAGAATGTCACTTTTTAACATTTATACCCATAGTTTTTACCGAATGAAGCGTTGTGGAAACTCATATCTAGAACAGCCTTTACTCTATTAGCTGAGCTCTGTCTCAGGTGAAAATTTCCGAATTTTCATTGAACTGCTCTCAAAAAACTTCGGAGAAAAGGGAATAGCATTCAGCAATTTTGCTCGATCACCAGTATTTGAAGAAATGAATGTGTTTTTAGATCGCCTTGGTGATACGTTCTTTGACTGTCCATATGTTTCATCATTGAATGGTAAATATACGAGTTTTTCATCTTTGAATCAGATAGAGTCACATCCGTTCTGATCATATCTTAGATTTAACTGTGCTAAAATTCGGTAGAATATTCGGTGATGATGGTGGTTATGTGTTGGATGATTCAGTAACGCACAAACTGACTATATTTCATTATACTAGTGCGATTTCTGTTACATGGTCGACTTGGCTTCATTCAATCACATTTATCTACTCGTATTCAGGTCTTCAAAAGGATATGCCGTCAACAAGAGGCAATACTCGTGGTTTTTCAAGTGACGATGATGTGCATTTGCGCTCAACAGAAACATTTCACGTAACAGTAGCTGATTTCAATGAACGAATTAATCGAGTTCACATAGTTCTTGGATTGGAGCAAGATATGCTAAAAGCATATCCAGAAGCTCTTCCAGCTCGTTATGTTGTTGGTATTCAATTTTTTACAACTCACAATCGCTCGAGTTTGTTTTACGGAAGTAAACAAGGTGAATCAATTGTTGAAGAATTCAAAGATGGTTTTGTCATTGGCTATGTTCGAGGTGCATCAGGTACATTTATTGACCGGCTTCAGTTTATTTGGTATAAAACTTGAAATTCAATTGATAAGCTATTCAAGAAAATAGCAATAAACTTAAATTTTTCGTATTGCAAAATAAAAAGCTTTCACGAGTATAGTTATTAGTAGTGTTAGATCTTCAAAGACATAGAATGTAGCTGATACTCACTGCTCGTCAACAGATAAATTTTAAGTTATCATTTTCAATGTCAAAATGCATAACTCATCATTTGAAAACGTTCTATCATAATTGATTGTTTACACTCTTGTTTATGATTGGTAATATCATTTGAGTGGCTCGCACTTTTGACATGTAGCATTATAAAATATCAAGAAAGGGCATATTTGAAGTAGTGAATGAGACATGAACGACTTAGATATGCTTCATCTCCATGTGTGTGGCTCTCAGTGTATGTTCATTTGGTATATAACTGATCATGCCAAGAAATCAACCACATTGGTCTATATGGGCAAGCAAAATAAGCCCAGAAGGGATGATTCATTCATTAAATTAGTTGTCTTGTTTATAGTTGCTTATCTGTTGAACTCTGTACTATCGTTCTCATGAGTGTATGCACTTTCATTTTGATACGATTTAAGGAAACTTAGTGAGTTACCTGTTCTTTTAAAAGTGATTGTCATTATTGAACGATATCTGTTTCAACACAATTGTGCCGTGTGTTTCGTCCTTTTTGTGATTGGACAATAAAATAGGCAAAAAACTGTCTTCGTTCATGCTTAGTGTGTTTTCTCTTGTGCAACCTAACACGATTGAATCGCTATTCGATTTAGTCACACATGCATCATGATGCTCGTGATTCTTCACACACTGCTTTTTTTTTATAGGAGTTAGTCAGATACACTGAGTAAGGTGGAAATTAAAAGGGCCATTCACTTACTTCTTCGGTAAAGTCTCTTCTTTTATTTTGGGTGGATGTAGGTATAGAGAAGATTTCAGGCTTAACGCACATAGTCCCATCCCACAGACCTTGATACAATTGACAATACACCATTATGATGTTCTCGACCGTGAATTTTTTGGTTTTTTAAACTAAGACATTACCAGTTTTGAATTGTTGAACACTGGACTTCTCAATTTTTTCATTTGAAATCGATTTGAAATCACAAAATTCAAAAATTTTTTTTTTCTCTCTTGATGTGATAAGTGAGTCCGTAGGAAGTGGCTGTGAGTACGGGTAATGTGAAGTAACAGTCACACACCCACATCCTCTATCTTTACAAGTGGAAGATCAAATGGCTTGGTCAGATCTCAATTATATAATATTTCCACCTGGAGGACGTCTTCCAATAGATAGATACTTTTCTCAGCGAACATGTCATATATCTAATGTTCAATGGCGTCTTTTGTTTCTGTTTAGTAAAAGACACTGTCTAACGAGGGAATCACCCGAGGTGTCAAAAAGCTTTTGAGCTGAAATTTTGCCCACAAGTAGGGGATACATAGACTAGAAAAAATCTAAAAGGATATGGGCCCAAGTTGGGATTTGACTGAGATATTGACTATTTACCATAATTTTCCTATAGTACCCTACTTGTCCGATAAAACCAAAGTTTTGAATTTAGGCCTGAAACTTTGTCCACACCAAGGCCCCAATCAGACAAGCTCGCCTATAAAGTTTCAGAGCTCTTGGATAAACTAACTCCGAGATATGAATCTGCCAAAATATCTATGTGAAACATTATATCTATAAAAAAGCGTCTTTATGCTAACATACTAGTATCTTGGAGATAGTCTATCCCAGTGTTCTGAAACTTTGTAGGCAAGCTTGTCTGATTGGGGCCTTAGTGTGGACAAAGTTTCAGGCCTAAATTCAAAACTTTTGATTTTATCGGACAAGTCGGATCCTATAGGAAAATTATGGTAAATAGTCGATATCTCAGTCAAATCCCAACTTGGGCCCATATCCTTTTAGGATTTTTCAAGTCTATGCATCCCCTACTT